TATTACGAATAGAGAATGACGCGCTGGTTTGGGTAGGCCCTGTTCTGAACACGAAACCTTTTTTAACCCAACCGACTGTATCGATTTCACCTGTACTATAATAGTCGACACCATTTAATGAGAAAGATAAGTTCGGGTATACCCCGGGATAACCATTTGCAGGAGATGTCGGTGTACCGGCAAACTGTGCACCTATCGAATCGGCGCCGCAGGTTTTACAGATGTTTCGTAACCAGGTCGAGAATTCGTAATAGGTATTTGGACAAAGATTATTGAGCGTTTGACTATATACTTCCGATGCGACGTAATCGGCGTTCACCATCAGCATGTATCCAGAGTTTGTTGCCTCACTCGGCGGTGTGTTACCGACAGAGTTGTTGGTACCGGTATGATCACCGTCGATATCCCAGTGACCACCGTGCATGCGGAACTGGCAGTTAAGTACATCATCATATAACAGCGTATTGCCGCAGCTAGGAACGCGATTAGCTAACCTTGATGTACCGCTTCGGGGGCTAATATTTTTTACGATGGCATACTTTCCATCACCCAAACCATTATACGCATTCACATCATTGAGGAAGCTATACCCGGTAATTGGGTTGGAAAGGTCAGTCGTCCTGTTGAGGGTAGATCCGCTTCCGAATGTACCTCCTGATTCAGCAGCGCTATTTACACCGATACTATTTGCGCAAAGAGAAAGCGGGTTGCTGATAAGAATCTTATATGGCACACCGGTTAGTGTAACATCTGATCCACCAGTACGGTAAATAAATTGCGGTGCGTTCAATACGATAGTATCTCCCACGACACCGGTTACTCTCACGCGATAAGCTACGGCGAACAGGAGTGAACTACCAAATACGGTTGGGCGGTTAGTGTTTGTCATCGAACCGGTAGCGGATGCAAACTCAGTCGATGTATTATTGACTGGTGTTCCCGGTAAGGTGGCACCAAAGCCCAGGTTCATTCTTATATTATAGTTATTGACCGGTGGTGATGCTAAATAGGTAGCCGCATCATCGCCTGCTGCCAATGTGTATTGTTTATAGGGTAAACCTTCATTGGTGATAATGCGGATGAAGTTACCTGCGCCGGTTTCCATCGCGGTTTTAGATGGCACGTTGTCAACAAAGCGAAGGTTGGACATCGTTGTTGCTGCAGTATGGTTGATCGTCATCCTGATTTCCAGGATATCATTTGGCTGTACCACACCACCGGTTGTTTTTTTGGTGATGTTGACATAGCCGTTACCATAACGTACTACAGGTGCAGCAGTACTGGTCAAACATATATTGAATCGCGCATTACCATTAGGAGCCGGAGCCGTACGT